GGGGGGGGGGGGGGCATCGGCTAAAATGCTGAAAGACGTGTCTAATGGATTTTCATGAACTACAATAGGGCCAAATGCCGATCGATTTTGAGGGAGCATGAGTGTAAGGTCCCCTTGTAAGTCAAATTTTTGGAAGGTCTGGAATTCCTATAATACATAGGGTGTCCCAAAACAACTGAGACCAAGTCTGTATTCCGGAAACTTTGATAGATATCAAAATGCGGGTTGTGAGAGGTTGTAGTCCATATTAGCTAGGTAACCTCAAAATTTAAGCTTATTCGGTTGAAAACTCACCGAGTTATAGCAATTTTTTGGGGACGAGTTGAAGAGAACCCTACAGGATTTTCGAGCTGTTTCTGAGTCGCGCTGTAGATCGCGACGCTGTGGATCATGTTGAAGGGGTCATGTGGGCACTATTCTGGATGAAGGTTACAACCTGTTAACATATGTTTTCACTGAAAATTGAGTCTTTGAAGTTCATTTTTTGCAAAGTTTACTCAGCTTGTTTTACTTTACCTTTAAGCTCATTAGTTTGAATAATTTGTTTTGTGACTTTTGGACAGAGGCAGAGCAATTATTACAAAATTCAAATATCAAAAGAGGAGAAGAGAATTTGTTTGTAATGAAATCTACTGTCAAGAATCTCTTAAACGCAGTTGCCGATAAAAATGATCCGGATCTTGTGGAGAAATTCCTAAGTATTCTTCAGTCAAAGCAATATATTGAGGTTTCCAGTTTTATTCTTGGATCTGTCATCAAAGCCTATCTGAACAGGTAACGCTTATTGCTGTCCATATTTTTTAAAAACTAAGTATCAGCCCTTTCATCATACTAACAAAATGTTTTTAATTAGATGCATTCAAATCGTCTTTATTTTGATCTTAAACTTGACCAAAACTCTTAACAAATCTAGGCAATCGGACAAAATTTTTTTGATTTTTAAAGAATTTCGGCTCCTCCTACCTCTCTGCTGAAATGTCTTTTGGCTTTTAAATGAACAAGAAGCCAAGAGGAACATTGCACCTTTGAAAATTCTCCTGAACCTATGGCTGTGGTTGGGGGGAAAGGTAAACTTTTTGTGATTTTTTCCCTGCATTTCCAGCGCATGATGAGGGGGTAATAATGTTGTTACCATTTTTTGACAGATCTATCTTCTATCAAAAGATATTAATAAACCTAAGTGTAAGTAAGTACAATTTTTAAATTTTAAAAAAATCTTATCAATAAAAATTAAAATCTCTATTTAAAACTAGGATTAGATACCCTACTATTAGAATAGCTTACATTAAAGTAGTGAAAGAAAATCTTCAAACTTAAATTATTACTATAAATAAACCCGATATAACCGGCTATTAACAATATCATCGCCACTGTCAGAACGCTTACCAGTATTGGTTTAAGACGATATCGGTAGCTTACCAACAAGAATTCGTTTGAACACCCGTACTGGTACTTTGCGCTGAGATTTGTTCCTTTTTGCCATGTTTGATATTCGAAAAGAGAATCAGGGGGAATTAGGTTAATTAAAAATTCAAGGGCTAGGGAAAATCTTGAAAGTCAAGGAGATGGGATTAAAAATTTTGCTTGACACCCTCCTTTTGACCTCTTGAGTGTTAGGTAGGAGCTATACCATTACACCATTGCATCCAAAGATTGTAAGGTTGGGAACATTATTAGATGTGATGACAAAAATTGGTTTTAAAAGCTCATGCCCAAGGTCAAATGATGTGGTTAAATGCCATAACGCTTATAAAATTATGTGATAGTGAAATACCTGTGAAAGCATTGTTATTTTGTTCAGAGATGATTTGGCTGGTGCAATTGAGAAATTTGAACATATTTGCAATACGTACAACTTCACTCCATTGAAGAATGAGCTGACAAAGAGGCTCATCAAGAACGAAGACACCGCAGCGCTCCAACGTGTGACGGATCTTAGCACAGCAATCCATGGTGAAGTCAATAGCTTGATTGACCTCATGGAGTGTTTCCTTGAAGTAGGGCGTACACAACAAGCGAGAAGAATTTTAGAGGTTTGTGAGTTACTTAATTTAGAATTCTCTTCTATCTATTATTGACAAAGTAGGTTCAGTTAGTATGATGTAACTAGAGTTGGGCGGAAATGGATTTTCCGCATCATCGGATCCGGATACGGATATCAATTTTTTTGTATCCGGCCGAAGCCGGATACCGGATAATTTGCCAAGGTATCTGGCCGGAACTGGATAATACCGGATCCGGATAGTGCTTTTTTTGTGTGAGAAAAATCTCCCGATTTCGTGCTTGGGACAAGAGGCAGACTGTGTATCACACCATCAAGACCGTCATCCATGATGTATGTGCCTTCGCTTCGGCAACCACCATATTTTTCAATGATATACTATGAGTTGGCCTGCTAAAACGAATACTAAAAGAAAAGACTTGACAGATAAGCAGCATGGCTTTCATTGGCTTCATGGTGTGATGGGCCAGATGAATCTGATGTGCAGAGAGAGAGATATTATTAAAAGTGTGCCTAAACAAGACAAAAGTGGAAAACAGCGCTTTGATGCTGCAATAACAAGCTGCGTACTGCGACATTACAATAATTGCGGAGTTACACTCGGACTAAAAACGTCACCAACAGGGAACTTATGCACATGTTGGTGGCATTGTTTTTTTTTAATCTTCCACCTGCATCTTCGTCTTTGAAAGTGAAACACTCGGACTTTCGGAACTAAGGGTTGCGTTGCAATCATGTAAATTTGCGGGAAATGTCCTTAATTCTGATGATAACAAGTTTCAAAAAGTTGAACCATTACAATGACTACTCACAGTGCGCCAAAAAATGCCAAAGTATTACTAAAAATGTATCAAAATTTTCACGGCCATAAAAGCACTATCCGGCGGGTCCAACGCCTGTGTTGTCTATCCCAAGTCTGGGCTAAGGAGGAGGATTTGAAGGTGAGGCTAGCAGCTCATCTCTGGTAAAATGCCCAATCTGCTTAAAGACAAAATAAAGCCTACCAGACTAAATCAGATTTACAACAAAAGATTAATGGAATATGGACAATGCGATAAAATGAACAAAAGAAGGTGTTACAATGTACTCCTCTTTTTAGCACTGTTAGGACATATTGTAAGAAGAAATTAGAAAACAATGTTCTTTGTTGCAATGCTTTCTTTTATTTCTTATTCATCATAATTATAATTAACTCCCAGAATTTTTTGTAATTTTCAATGCATTTGCATAATTTTTAAGGAGAGTCATCTCAAAACTTTCAAACACTATCATAGTGGAGTAGTTTCCTTTTCGAAAGACACTTTGAGTTATTGGAATTTTTGAAGGATGGACCATATCCTTTGGCTAGATATTTTAATACCAGCGTTAAATTTCAGACTCCTGGCTTGAGACTGCGTCAAGATCGCTTCAAGCAAATCAGTGAAAATATGTACACTAGGGGTGAAGAAGACGCCTTGAAGAACCTTATCGAAGTAACGAGAGGCATCCCTGACATCAGCCGCTCCGTTTTCTATTTGAATCTTCTCAAACTCTATGGTGCGCCATGTTTTATTTATATTTATCCAAGCTTGTCCTAAAAAGTTCCTTTTAGAATGTTGCCCAACTTGGTGAATTTTTAGAAGTGGATTGGCTGAAAACTTTCCAATGCAACCTTTTTTCATGGGAAATGGAAATAGAATTCTCAAAAATGCTAAGTATAGAGTCTTTTGTCTTTCTCCAGGAACTCTGATTATTTCTCAATTTTATGTTATAAAGAATCCAGAAAAAAAGAATTCCAAGTGAAGGAAAACAAAGAAAAGAGAAGAAATCATGGAAGCCCTTTTATCTGTGCATTCTTTTTTTCCTGTACAATATTAAAAGTTTAATTGTTTTATGAAAAACTCAACAAAAATCCAAATTCTCTCTTTTGAAGGAGAATCAGTGCACAGCTCCATTATTAAATATTTAATGCACTCTTTTTATTTAAAATAATAAGGTACTTGCTTCGGTTTCTGAAAGTATTGAATACTAATCATCATTCATAGAAAATTAAAACATTTTTTTGATTTGATTCTACAAACCACTATAATACAAGAAATGTAGTTTTCAAACGAGGTTCATGCAATTTTTATCCACTGTATTATTTTGAATTCTAATCGCACTTTTTCTGACGTTTTTCCAGTGGAAAATCCTGATGTGGCTCATCTAGTGGATTTTTCATGTAAACTTTCTTATGAACAGGAGAAATCATAATGCAGCATAGGTCTTGCTCCCCAGTAGCATTTTTGCACTATAAGTTTCTCTGATTATTTAGGAGAGGTAGTGGAGCCAGCACTTAAAGATACAAGCGATAGTAAGGTGATAATGAATGGCAATGAGTCATGCATCTTACAAGGGGAACTTCCCAAGCTGCCGCCTCCGATCGGGCTGAAAAAATTCGTACGAACTCTTTGGATGAATTTATTCGACCCGTATTTTTTTGTTTTTTCCAATGCCCCCCAGAAACACCCCAAAAAAATTCCGGAAAGTTTTGCTTTGAGCGCTTGAGTCTATATACGCAGTATAGCAGCACCCACTTACCGTCAAGTGGTGGCTCTGCGGTAGCACGCTCGCCCAGTGATCCGGCGGGCCCGGGTTCGATTCCCGGGTGCCGCGCCAAATTTTTACGACCGACTTTTATATTCTCACACATTTTCACATCGATTCCCATTTGATACATTAGAACTTAAAACATCAATTAATTTACAACCATCAACGATCAATAACTTCTTCAATTTGAAGTGTAGATTTTTTTTTGGGAGGGGGGGAGGGGTCACGCGCGCGATATTCTCGCCAATCACTGTACTTTCACATTAGCAGACGACCCACTCCGCCCCCTCACATCGACATATTTCTCCCGATCACCCGTATGCGTCATGATTTTTCCCATCATTATCCAGAAAATGATAATGAAAAATTACTTCGAACATTCAAATTAAAAATGCTACAATTTTTCATTATCATTTTCTGGACAATGATGGGAAAAATCATGACTCATACGGGTGATCGGGAGAAATATGTCGATGTGAGGGGGCGGAGCGGGTCGTCTGCTAATGTGAAAGTACAGTGATTGGCGAGAATATCGCGCGCGTGACCCCTCCCCCCCTCCCAAAAAAAAATCTACACTTCAAATTGAAGAAGTTATTGATCGTTGATGGTTGTAAATTAATTGATGTTTTAAGTTCTAATGTATCAAATGGAAATTGATGTGAAAATGTGTGAGAATATAAAATTCGGTCGTAAAAATTTGGCGCGGCGCCCGGGAATCAAACCCGGGCCCGCCGGATCACTGGGCGAGCGTGCTACCGCAGAGCCACCACTTGACGGTAAGTGGGTGCTGCTATACTGCGTATATAGACTCAAGCGCTCAAAGCAAAACTTTCCGGAATTTTTTTGAGGTGTTTCTGGGGGGCATTGGAAAAAACAAAAAAATACGGGTCAAATAAATTCATCCAAAGAGTTCGTACGAATTTTTTCAGCCCGATCGGAGGCGGCAGCTTGGGAAGTTCCCCTTGTTAGCTTACTGCAAAAATTTGGCAGGTGCATCTTATGTTTGAAGATTTTATTTCTGTTTTTCGTAATCGAAGATTTTGTTGTGGCTTGTATTCAAAAAAATATTGTTTTTTAATATTTTTTAAATTCTGTGAATTTTTTTTCATGTGATATTGCTTTGAGTTTCAAAAGCCAAACTTGAGGGGAGTATAGCACAGTCAATTTTAATCATACAATGTTTTATTTTCTGTTATTGTTTAATTACTTATGAAGGTTTAATCTCTCAATGCTTTTTACCGTCCGTGTTTTACTTACTGTTTTAACATTCATGAAGATTTGATTAATTACACCATCTTTTGCCCTTGTTCGCAGCTGATGCTAATGATGCTGAAAAAGCGTACAGTCTTTTGTTGCGTATGCAGGAGCAAGACGAGATTCCATCTGATAAGTTTTTGGTTACATTAGCTGATTTACTAAGGAAGAATGGGCGTGAAGTACCTTTCCAAGTCCCAGGTAGTTCTTCTTTTCAAAATTCTTGTTTTCAATACCATTTTGAAACATTTTTTCAGTTTCACTCAGGATTTCTCCCTTGGATCTGCCTCCATAAGTTCAGCTTTCAGACAAGCCAAAATGTTAATTTCCTCTAAAGAAGTGAATTCTCTGTGAAAAATCTTTCTTCTGGTAACTCTATACACAGGCTTTTAATTTGGGAATGGTCGAAAACTCCACTGTAGGTTTCACAGGGGAGAAGGGGGAGAAATGAAGTCTCCCCTTCCAACTGCCATGCTTTTTCTGCTGCAGTTTTTTTTCTACCATTTTACACATTCCAATTCCACAGTGCAGGGTCTTATTTGATTGGAAACTTTTGTAGGAGACAGTCACAAGACAATATCGTGAAAAAGATAAAATTACGCGTACCCACTCGCACTAATTTAGCAATTTAACGGGATGTGTTTTGGGGTCTAGATGGCCCCATCATCAGCCGGCAGTGAACTAACGTTGTTTTGTTTTCCTTTCCTGATCCATGCGCTGGTGCTTGATTGCCATGTTTCAATGAATTTAAATAGGATGTTATTTGTGCCCGCCTAGTCTGTGTTGAAGTTGTTTGCACTGTGAATGTATATGTTTGCCGATACATCTAGTTCTCCTAGGTTGTTCATCTCTTTCTTTAAAATGGGTTTGCCGGCTATTTCACGTTTTTCTGACCAGTAATGCTGTGCCACCGCTGATTTTTCTACTTGCTAATATTTTACTATGGGGCTATGCCCCCTGGCTGCTATGCGGCCCTACCCCCAGAGGGCGCTTTGTGCTCTTGTAGGCCCGTGTCGACAAAAGAACGAACAAAAAAGTGAAAATATTTTCATCCCCGACTCTCATTTATCCAATCTCTCTGGTCAGGGGCGATTTGACCAATAAGAATCGAATGAAAAAATCGGCATTTATTTCAAACTTCACGCCAAGGCTGAAACAAAACTGGACAGAGCATTTCGTCGCTTTTGGATAGCCTATAGCAAAGGAGCATACCTTTGATTCACTTACCCGACTAACAGACCAAGATTCAACATTTCCCGCTTACTTCAATTTTCCGCTAAATTTAAAATTCCCGCCATTTTTCATGGGCGGGAATTTCAAATTTTACCCCCCTTTCTAAGCTTTCTGGTCTCCTCCAATATTAAAAAACCTAGGTCCTATTTTCAAAGTCTGATTACAGCAGGCTCATCTAGGGACTATCAGGTGTTGATAACCGCAAAAATCATGGAAATCGGCCTAGTAGAACGCCCAAACGAACTATGACAAAAAATTAAAAATTAAATTGTTTAAATGGGAGAATTCGCAACTTACCACATAATATAAAAAAACCTGGCTCATATTTTCAAAAGGAGGGGTTGCGATTTGGGCTGAAATCGGCCCCTCCACGGAATTGAGAAATTTTTGGATATACGGCAGTTGACGGTACATAGAGCAGTTGACAGAGACAATCGAGTTTTGCCGATACTCACGTTTTTTGGTTGTGAAACAGGGGCCTAAACATGGCTCCGAAGGCGAAAATAGCTGAAATTTCGCGTTTTTCGCGTTTCTACCTTAGATTCCGACCTGGGCCCAAAGGCGACGGGTGATGAGCTTCGAATATGGTGTTAAGGACACCTGCACACTTAACATACTTGAATATGATCAACCGTCGCCTTTGGGCCCAGGTCAAAATCTGAGGTAGAACTGCGAAAAACATGGATTTTCAGCTATTTCGGGCTAAAAAGTTGGAGAAGTTCGATTTTGAAGTTGGGCCCAAAGGCGACGGTTGATTATATTCAAGTATGTTACGTGTCTAGGTGTCCTTGACACCATATTCGAAGCTCATCACCTGTCGCCTTTGGGCCCAGGTTGAAATCTGAGGTAGAATCGCGAAAAACGTGGATTTTCAGCTATTTCGGGCTAAAAAGTTGGAAAAGTTCGATTTTGAAGTTGGGCCCAAAGGCGACAGTTGATCATATTCAAGTATGTTACGTGTGTAGGTGTCCTTGACACCATATTCGAAGCTCATCGCCCGTCGTCTTTGGGCCCAGGTCGGAATCTGAGGTAGAACCGCGAAAAACACGAAATTTCAGCTACTTTCGCCTTCGGAGCCATGTTTAGGCCCCTGTTTTGCAGCCAAAAAACGTGAGTATCGGCAAAACTCGATTATTTCTGTCAAATATGCACCGTCAACTGTCGTATATCTAAAAATTTCTCAATTCCGTGGAGGGGCCGATTTCGGCCCAAATCGCAACCCCTCCTTTGAATAAATTGGGCTCATCCAAAGGCAATTGCCTGTCGATAGCCGCAAAAATCATGAAAATCGGCCCGATAGAACGCTAGAACTAAGCGCTACCAGATACGCAAATTTAAGAGGCCTCGGAGCTTATAGTACAGATGTTGTTTATGTGCTCTCTGAAACTCAGAGACCTTTTTGTCTTTCAGATGTCGCTCTTTTCACATGTTTCACACTTGATTTCGAAGATGCCTGATTTTTCTAGATCATATTTATTCTTCTTATCTATATTTTTACTTAGTTTGTTTGAGGAATTAACTCTATTATTGAAGCTGAGGTTTATTTTAAATTTTTTTAACATTTTTTGAAATCTGTAATTAGCCATTGGGTGGTAGGTGAATTTTTTCCACTTTATATCGTCTCACTCTTGGCTCGGCAATTTGATTGCAGCAAAGGGGGTAGGAGACCCCTTAAGAGCAAGTCCATAAAGTAACAACTCCTCTCATAAATAGTACAAATAATAAATATCTATAAAAATAAAAACTAATAATAGACACAAGAAGAATTCTTTAAAAAAAATAAGAACCATAATAAAACCAAGATGAAAGGGTCAAACAATATCGCTCGCTCATAAAGTTAAGTATTTTAATCAGCAAATAATTTAAACTGAAAATAAAATAGTAATTTTGGAAATTACAAATAATTTTCTATTTACTGATATTTGTGATACCCTTTGCGTGTAGAAACGTAAAGAAAATTTCTCGATTTCATTCTCCAGTTTGAACATGTATGCGATGGTGTATTAGCCAAAAAAAGAAACAGTTTCATGTTGATGGAAAAAATTTTTCCGACTCAAATGAATTTAGTGCTAAATGTTCTTTGCAGGTAAACTTAAGAGCTTCTGCGCAGGTTCTGTATTTTTTCCCAATCATCTTTAATCATGTAAATCCACTCCGAAAAATTTAATCTGGACCATGTCAGTAAGTGGATGATTCATTTATCTGTTTCAGCTGTGGCAAAGCAGATTCAAGAGGAGCTGAAGGTTGAAACAAAAAAACAAAAATCGCCCATCAAGGTTTTCCAAGATTGTATCGCTCAAAATGACTTAGACAAAGCTCTTCAGTTTGTGAATACAGGAAACATTCCAAGCACGATACTGTCCAGCTTGCTACCAGCGTTGATGAAGAAAAATAGAGTTTCAGAAGCATTTTCAGTTATCAAAACTATCTCGGACAGGGGTGATCATGTCAATGTCCAAGCTCTTAAACCCCTCTACAAAAATCTAGGGGAGGCGGTCGATTATGAAACTTTGTGCGAGTTGAGGCGGATACTCCCAGGAGTAAGTTCAGTATTTGTGTGCTACTTTTTACTGTTTGAAACATTACATGCACCTATTTTACTTTTTTTCTTTCTTCTTTTTAACATCTTCTTGGATTAGATTGAAACTATGTTCCCATTGAATTGATGTTGTCATTCTCTCTTTTTCTCAGAATGATTGTTACTGTGTCCTTTAAAGGAGGTAGCTCCAATTTGCTCAAACATTTGGTGGACCTTCACCAATGAAGGCTCCTCCATGTGAAACTAGACCTGTGCGATTATGGATTTTTCAATTCGACTACGATTCTATTACAATTAACGAAATCAATCGCGATTATGATCATGGTTACGATTGAAATTGGGAAAAAACTGAAAAAGTAAAACAGAGCGCGATAAATATTTTTCCTCTTTTTTTGTGACTAAAAACGAAGGTATTTTTTGGCTTTCATGACCAAAAAGAATGTTGAAGTATTTAAGTTCTTGAAGATATTTTTTTATTAAGTATCCAAAGTATCAAAATCAAAAGTATTCAAAGAACCTTTATCATCGACGTGAAATCGCGGCACAAGTCCAATGGGGATATTTTCGCGAAGTTATCACTATTTTCAGTGAGAGTTTTTACAGCTAGGGGCTAGCAGCTTGCTACCGTAGACGTCACATAAATTCGAACAAACGCGGCGGGAGTTTCAAATTCAAAATGCGGCCATCATTTCTCCATCATTCACTAGTTTCCCACAGGATGAAAAAGGTTTGTGCAAAACGGGTCCAATGTCACTTGTGGTGGATACCTGTAGGACTTGACACTCAATCATTAAAAAATAACCTATCTTATTCCTTAGTTAAGCCACCCAAAAATTTTTGGAGGTAGAGGGGAGGGAGGAGGGGCAACATTTTCGCAAATTATTTACTTAAGAAGGAAGAATTTTAACAAAATACGGTTTGCAGCGTGCAAGGAGCTATTGGTAAATGTATCACAATATCACATCCTGGAGTTTTGTTGAGTTAAACTCGAGTTAGAACCTACAAAACACTGAAACTCCTTTAGAAAGACACGACTAAAAATGTCTCTTGCATATTGTAGAGAGCTGGATGAGCTGCAGATAGTTAGGAACAACAAATCATTGGTTTTTCATCAAAATCGAACAGGGCCATTGTGAAGCTTTGTTACAAGCCTGGAAATCCCTCCTTCATGGAACTTGGCAGATTGGTTACTGAACTTGTTCATCACAAGTCCTGTGGTGAGAGCAATGATGATGGAAAATATGGTTCTCCTAACTGTTTCTGTGGAGCAATGCTAAAAAATCAGGGCTGTAATGGGCCTGTTGCAAACTTTTGCTAGAGCAATAATAAGAGTTGTAACTCGTGGAAAGTGTCTCAAAAATAAAGATGAGCACATCGACAAGGTCTGAAATGCATTTCTTACTTCACAATTTGCATAAGAAATTTGCGTTTTTTCGAGCTTCCCGCTTCATAAACGATACCACGGCACAGGTGAACATTTCGTTAGAGGAGTCATTCCATCCAACCCCTGTTCACAAGGACACTACGCACTATTCAACACAGCCAACGCCAATCCGCCAAAACACATGTGACGGGACAATGATTCTAACCACCTGATAACAATTAGCTTGTTTACATTCACATTTTCGTCGTGTTGATAGATATCCACCTTGATTAACCTCGATCTCTCCTCAACTTGCTTGCAGAAGCATCGGCCATGTTGAGCAGGGAGTGAATGGAATGACTCTTCCAACGAAATGTTCACCTGTGCTGTAGTATCCTGTTTGAAGCGGGAAGCTTAAAAAAAAGCAAATTTCTTACGCAGATTGAGAAGTTAGGGGTGCATTTCAGAGATTGCTGATGTGCTCATCGTGATTTTTGAGACATTATGTATGAGGAAGAACTCTTATTTTTGCTCTAGCAAAAGTTTGCAACAGGCCCATTGAATCAATGAGTTCGAAAATACACCAACTAGAGTTTTTTTCGATTTTCCCCTTTTTTACGGCTTAGTATAACACTTATAGATAGGTGAATCTGCATGCAAACGAAAATTTTGAAATTGCAACTGGAAACCCTCAAAACAGCAGCAGAGAAAGGGTGATGAGAATGACTACACGTTCTATTAGCGGGCGTTCCTATTGAGGTGGGGAGGGAGCAGTGGACTTTTTCAGGGCCAGTAGCTCATAAAACACTTTTCTAGCGTACTTGGTGCCATCAACTAAAATGTTTGCCAGAAAAAAGTACTACAAAGAGAAAAGATTTAGTATTTTATTGGAAGTACCAATTTAAGGCCTTTAAAGAAAAACGGGTGGCCATCTGATTTCGTAGTTTTCTTTTTTAGGTTCACGATTCAGTATACCCTGTACCAAGAAGTTTTAAAAATATTCACGGGTTATATGTCAAAAACTAGACGTTTTTCCCCGCAAACCATGAAAAATCAATATCTGAAAGTCAGTAAGAACGAAAACACACCAACTCGGCAACTAGTAAATGCCTAATAATCTGTCATTAAACATGGCTCGTCTATTTTATCTCGGTTCTGTAAACTGTCACCCAGCACTTGCCCTTTGGCACCTAAATCAGCTGTTTTTTCAAGTAACTTTTTCGCTTGTGCGCAAATTTTTGTGTTTCCTAAACGTATTACAATTTCCGAGTTGGTGTTTTTTCGAACTTGGTGTTTCAATTGAAGCTGAGAGTATACTGAATATAACGGTATATGTGGTTTTTTCTCAACATTACCGGTTTGCAAGAAAATTTGTAGGAGACCCTCTTTCTGGATGAGCCTTGTAATTTCCTCTGATGCTATAATTATTTTCCTTTTAATTTCAAGGAAATCAAGCAATATACTGCATCAAAATTGTAAATTTTTCATAATTTACAGGAATCTCACATAAAGTTCCAAAGAACTACTCTGCTCATTATCTTGTAAAAGAATGAAGCACGCAAGAAAATTGGCATCATGAAGTGAAGTTAGGATAATTCTGTTTTAATGTGTTGATTTTACCCCACCTAGCATGATGTTTTAGTAGGTTTTAAGGTAATGCAATTAAATACAACTTTTTTTTGGCAGGTTCTTTTGCCACTTCAATACATATATCGATCTTTACACTCAACTATGTGTTATTTCTTGCCTTTCAGGAACAAGGTCAGGATCCATTTCTCCTTCGCTCTATATTTGTTGCGTGCAAAGAAGCAGGACGAATTTCTGACCTGTTTAAGGAACTCGATTTGGAATTAATCACAGCCGATAGTGAACGACTCGAAGTTACGTTCCCAATAGGTGTGCTTTTGAGAGTTCTAGCAGAACAGCCACAATACTTGGCGGAAGGTAAATTAAAGTCGAAGTCGATTTTTTGGTCCCATCAGACTTTCATGTTCAACCAAACTTAGAAATTTTTGTGAAAATTAGTTCAATTTGCACATCATATGAATCCAGGTGCAATGAACCACTAGACAAGATACGAAGTTAGGCACTGGTTTCTTTACCAAAATTTCACGCAGAACACGATTTGCGCAACAATAATTGCTGAAACTAACTCTTAAACAAGATATTTAATGTTTCTTGATGCAAGATTTCAAACTTCCCACCCATGAAAACACAATGGTCTACGTGAGTCAAATCGCACACTAAACGTTCCGTGGCAGTCTCTGCGATACGAAAATACATAAACCTCAATCTTGATACTTTGGCTCAGCTTTAGTAAATTGTCTACACTTTGAACTATAAAGGATGGAAAAGGAGCAATGCTCAATTGAGGAGCCTGCCAAAACCTCTGTAAGGTGCAATTTGACTAACGTAGAGTATTGCGTTTCTCATGTTAGGGCAATTCAAATTTCCCTTAACCAATGTAAAGTAAAAACTTACTTTTCTTCCTTTTTCGCCCGATGCAAATTCGGTTGCCACTATTTATACATTTATACTATGGCCATTTCCGCTTCAGCAGAAGCCATCATCAGGTAATTTTTAAAAAACGAACAATGAAAACAAAAACAAAAAACCGAAGCTAAAAATTCCGCGTATGTATCGCCGGCGACGCGTCGCGATACTAGTTAGTGCGATATATTGCCGGTGATCAGCTGACTGTGTTGCGTCACGTAGGAGGGCGGGGGGACGATCACTGGTGCCACCTGTTGCTCAATTTATGAAATAAGTAGCTGTTCCTTAGATGTTTTCATTATTTCGATTTGTTCTAATACAATTAATTTCCGGCCTTTTTAACATACTTGTCCTAGTTTCGCATAACAATTTTCCAGTTTACGGTCAGTGCCGGATTATATGGTCCCCAAATGATGAATGTCCTCTCCTTTTTAGTATGGCACAGTCAACGTGTTCTTTCAGCCTTGTTGCCACACTCCTTCCTGTTTGGCCTACATATATTTTTCCACAGTTACATTTTATTTTGTACACACCGCTTGCTTCCAATTTTTCACTTTTCTCTTTTGTATTGATCAATATTCTGCCCAAATTTTGGAAAAAAAAATTGGAAGCAAGCGGTGTGTACAAAATAGAATATAACTGTGGAAAAATATATCGTCACCTTCCCGGCAAAGTATCACAAGCGCCATGCGACGTTTAAAAATTTCCGCCGCCATTTTATTTCTTTACTGAGAAATTGTTGGTTAAATCTGTTTGGAAATTTCACTAAATTTTATCGGCAGCACAAAGAAAATTCAGTGAAATTTTCGGACAGCTTCGTTGAACAATTTCTCTGTAAAAAAATAAAATGGCGGCGGAAATTTTTAAAGTCGCATGGCGCTTGTGATACTTTGCCTGGAAGGTGACGATATGTAGGCCAAACAGGAAGGAGTGTGGCAACAAGGCTGAAAGAACACGTTGACTGTGCCATACTAAAAAGGAGAGGACATTCATCATTTGGGGACCATATAATCCGGCACTGACCGTAAACTGGAAAATTGTTATGCGAAACTAGGACAAGTATGTTAAAAAGGCCGGAAATTAATTGTATTAGAACAAATCGAAATAATGAAAACACCTAAGGAACAACTACTTAATTCACAAATTGAGCAACAGGTGGCACCAGTGATCGTCCCCACGCCCTCCTACGTGACGCAGCGCAGTCAGCTGATCACCGGCAATATATCGCAATGACTAGTATTGCGACGCGTCGCCGGCGATACATACGCGGAATTTTTAGCTTCGGTTTTTTGTTTTTGTTTTCATTGTTCGTTTTTTAAAAATTACCGGATGATGGCTTCTGCTGAAGCGGAAATGGCCATAGTATAAATGTATAAATAGTGGCAACCGAATTTGCATCGGGCGAAAAAGGAAGAAAAGTAAGTGACCATAGCTCCCGATAAAGAAAACAAAGAAGTAGTAGTAAAGTAAAAACGTTAATATATTGGTTAGGAGTTAATTTCAGTAATTTTCAATGCAAGAATCGTGTTCTACATAAACTTCTGGTTAAGAAACATGTATCAGAATGCTTAAATTCGTACCTTGTCTAGTGGTCCATCACACTTTTTCATATTTTTATGGATTCCTAAGAAGTTTAATGTATGTTCTTACGAAAGCTTTACCCCATGGTTTTGAAACTTAAGTGTGGCGATTTTTACAACTTTTGAAATTCTTAACAATTTAGGACGATTTTACTTGATAATTTTGCAATGAAGGAGCAACTTTCATAATCCTTTTATACCCAATAATTTACGTTTTTTTCAGAAATGTGCTCAGTTTTTAGGTTAAATTTAGTTTCAAAATCAGGAAACTGCTAAAAATTGGCAAGAAATGCATTGATGGACGGTAATGCTCCTTGTAACTTATCAAAAGCCATTTTAAAGGCTAGAAATTAAAAGTACGCAAAAAACTACTTTTGAATTCTGTCGTGGAAGAATGATAATTTTCGACAAAGTTGGCCAAAAACTAATTTTACCCTTTGCATTTTGGGTTTGAGGCGCTGCTGCGCGTTTGTCTAGGTTTCAATCAGAAGGTTATTTGGCATAGAGTCTACATAGAACAAGTGTCTTATAATTTTTAAACCTTTTGCAAAACCCAGGTGGGATTTGTAAAGGCCCCTAAAGCTTTTTCTCCTCTCGGCCTTGTTTCACTAATGTTTCTTGTTCTCATTTTTTGTGTTAAATTTGGATGTAATGCATTAAAGTGAGCTGGTAGAAATGTATGTCATTCCAGAGTTGTCAATAATTCAAAACTTGTTACAAATCGCAAAAAATCACGGTTGTCTGAAATCTTGCCAGCTTGTAAAAGCTCACCAAATTAGGTGGCAAAAGAGTACGTTGCGAACAGGATCTAGACCTGTATTACAGCTGCACCCTAAAAAACAAACTTCTTGCCACATAGATGTGGTTTTTATGTGCCAGCAAGATTCTAGACAGATGTGATTTTTCATGAAAAGCACTCACTTACTAGTCCGGAAAGCCGGGAAATAGCACTGATTTTTTTAAGGTGGTCCGGAAGCACTAAGAAAGTACGGAAATTTTACAAGAAGGTCCAGAATCTTTTCCTTCACACCATGCAAGGTTTTTAATAAAGCCTGGGAAGTATGCAATCCCCTGCACCTTGATTCTTTGAGTAGTATTTACCTGCAAGATTGCGATTGTGCTGTTAGTTAATCTTCAAGCTACCAATGAAATTTTGTGACCACGTCATTTTTGTCGCAATTCGAGCAAAAATTTTTGAAATTTTCCGGATTTCGTCGAATAGAGGTACTGAAAAGGTACTGAATTTTTCTGCTGAGGTAGTACTGAATTTCTTGGGAATGTACTAAAAAATTATTGAGTACTGATTTTTAACCAGCCTGTTTTAGTAGACACCCTGGATATGACATTTTGAATCTGCGTGAGCTTGATCACTCTGTACAAAATGTTGTTGGAGGCTCATAGTTTACTCCCTCGATTTAGCAATGTAATAGAACTTGTGAAGCTTATCCATCGCAATTGTTTAGCTTAATGTTGGTTCCTCTGATGTAACAAAAAAAAAAACTGTTGCGTCTATTAATAAGATAATCAGATGGAAATCACTCAAAAATTTCCTGTAATTATAATAATAATGCATCTTGATTTAAAGGCAGATGCAGAGACATCAGAACCCAGCCCTATGTTATCTAAACTGCAGATTTTAGGTCTTTACAAGGTATCTTTGAATATGAGCAGCCACAAACATTCCTCCCTTTGTGTCTCATGTAAACTTTTTAAAAAACGAATATTCTATCAAGCCATGTGAATTTTTTCCTATTTTTCAGTTGAAGCATTGTGTGAAAGAGCAAAAGAAAAGAGCTTAACTGTAAGTGAAAAATGTCTGTGGAACATCTACACAGTTCTGGACATAAAATCAGAGGAAAGAGAGAGACTTCGAAACTCTTTGATGCAGGACGAAATGAACTTTTTTGAGCCTGCAATAAAGCTTTGTGAGTACAGGGAGGATTTTTCACTATTAGACCGAATCAAGGACGCCGTTTGGTCAAGCTCAAATGGAGTAAACCTAGAGAGAAAAAAGGCTCGGATAATCACCGCAGAAATACGCTTGTGCAGTAAGTCTAATGTATTAGTTATAGAAAAATTACTTGAATTTTGGAAATAATTTGATTATGTTTTCACTTGAAAAAATATGAAAATCCAGTATTTTTAATATTCTGGAGTTTTCAGAAGTTGCCGTGTGAAAGTTTAGTTGAGTGTGCATTCATGCTTGTAACTTCTAGTTAGGACAGTGCGAATTCTTTAGACGTTAAAATTAAGATTGCATTTTAGATTAATACTTGAAATTGGAGAAAACATCAGCTTGTCAACATGATCAAACTAAGTCTCAATCTGGTTTGGATTTCAGTGCGCTGAGTTACACTTTGAATTATGAATTGAGGAATAATTTTCATGAAGAAATCACATTTTATTCAATTAAATGATAAATGAAGGAAAGAAAAAGGATCACATCTTACCATCACTTGCAGTGCAACTGATGCCAAAAATATCTCCTTTTTAGTTCTATGCGTGCTAATTGTTAATAAGATCAGTCAGGAAAGGTTAGGGAAAAATCAGGGAATTTTTTGCTGCCGATGCTGTAGACACCCTTTTTTTTCGGTAATGATATTGAGTTCTGAACTCGCCAACAATTTTAAATAGACTCATCTCTAATTTTTTTAAACTGCAAATTTCAAACCATTTAAAGTACAGAAACGCTGCTATCAACAAGAAATCAGTACAAAACCGTTCATAAACCAAATAAATCACTGGAGCATCAGTTTTTTCTGTAATTGAAGTATTTGATCTCTGTCTTTCATTCTTATCTCACCCTTTAGTGCTTAAAAATCAGCCCGATGAAGCGTTGAGGAGACTAGAATCAGGACTGAAAGATGTAGATATCTCTCTATTAAGAAGAAGTGTTTTGAAGAACTTGGAGAGGCAAGCCAAAGCTTCTAATCTCCCATTCGACTTTAAAATTCCTACAGTAAGTACAGTGTTAAATTCATATCAATAATTATTTTAGTGTTCTCCTGTGAAATATGCAATCCAGTAAATCAAGTAATGAAGTGTATACAGGTGAATATTCAAAAACGAAGAGAAAGATTAAAACCGATAGTTTTTTAATTTTAGTTTTTCCAGGGAAAACTTGATGTAATAAATATTAAAAATGAGATCGTGCTTCTAAAGAGACTCCATAATCCTTTCTTTAATACTTCTCATTCTGTACTGTCTGATGGCAAGCGCCTCTCACACTCTTCTAGAATAGGCTCCAATGACAGGATTCATTTTTATGAGTTATTTGCTAAGATACTTTGAATTCTTCATTGTTTGTGTAGGTTTTGTTTTTGTACCATCATTTTCTCTGATTTAGAAGACAATCATTTCAGGTTTTGAACTTATTATGCACATTAAAAAATAAAACTAGTATGCTGAGATTGCCGACCGAGTCAGCAGTCAGCAGTCAGCAGTCTTGATCAAGTCGCTGTGGACTGAAGTCTCTATTCTCCTCAAAAGTAATTCATAGTAGTCGAAAATTCTGTGCAATTATTTACTTTAATTCCTTAATCTTATCCCTTAAACTATGCAGTTCTATTTTACGAAGTGGTCCTTATTTTTTTTTCTAGGTCTCTGCAGAAGGTGAAGATGAAAACAAACAGAAAGTCTCAACGCAGTAATGCATTTGAAATTTGAATTTCAACAATTGTTGATGGCATCTCTTGGTTTTTAGTGAGTATTATATGAAATTTCACTTTTTAGGCTCCTAAAAACCTAAGGAAAACTGAGGAAATATAGAGAATTCAATTCGGAAAAAAAAAATCATGAAAAAACTTCTGGTGTTTTTGAGAAAACTCCATAAATATTGAGAAGTTTAAAATTAATAAAAAATGACTGGTAGAAAATTAAAGTTTCGGCTGTAAAACTGGTTTCAATCTTGAATTTTGTCTAATTTTCTGTGTACAAATAGTGGACAAATTGAGAATGAATACAGGAAAGATTCAGAGAATTTGAGTTTTGAATTTTAGAAAATTCCATGAACCCATTTCACCACTAATCTTGGTCGATGCTTGTTGAGATGCAGCAATTTCTTGACCATGCAACCTGTTGGCTTCAAGCTATGATTGAAAGGTGAGGAAAAAAGGTTTTGAAAATTTGCGACTAGTTTGCAACGGATAGGAAACAGAAAGTTTGTTACAAAATCATGAATAAATTAGGGGGGGGGGGGGAATCATCTTTTGGAAAATTCGGGAAATCAAGGGCTTCCAAAATGCATAGGCCAATGGACCATTAAGCAGGGTAAGCAATCCAGCAGCATACAGTGGCGATTTTTCAAGTTGGCAACACTGTTATTCCTCCATTTAAATCCATCAAAAATATTGATTTTGGGTAAGGCAAGAATCAATCGTCTTACACACTTTTAAATGAAGGAAAAACAGTATTGCTAACTTTCAAGAATCATCTCTGGCAGCATTTTGGGGTTTATTGAAAGTATGCGAAGGTTAAGTACATCTTGTGCCACTAGATCTTATTCTTAGGCCGGAATTTTAAGACGTTACTCGAAACTTCCTCGACTCGAGATTTCCTCAACTCGAGGAACCTCCAAAACGGCCTCGACTCGAAACTCACTCGACTCCAGAAAAAACTCCTCGACTCGAAAATCTACTCAACTCGAAAATCTCCTCGACTCGAAACTCCGTCGTCCAAAAAAAAAAAATGGCTTCCAGGTGAGAGAATGACGTTCAACGTCAATTAAAGAACAGATTAGTAATTTATTTGGAATAATAATCATGGAAAAGTGCGTCAAATTAAACTTTAGCGGCTACTTTCATAAATTCCCGGGCCATGAGTTAATTTCTGATTCATCCGCTTGAGTATGCATTCGTGAAATGGTGACTGGTGAGAAGGCGGCCCCGGCCATTCATTGTATTTGTTTGTTTGTTTATCAGTGCCAATCCTTTTAATTAATTGTTTCAAAGTTAATAATTCGATTTCTTAGTGGTTTTTGTGTTTCTTTATATGATATAGCCCTTTGTGTCATAGTTCAAGCGTTCAATGGATCCTAATCGTCTTTGAGAACACGGCTAAACCCACACCACAGACGCTTAACATTCATGCGATTGAATGGAAGTGAATTTCTCGGTGATTGAACCTTTCTTTTCTCCTCAGTACTTATTTTCATCATACATGTATTCAATCATGAATTCTCTGTGAAATTTCTCGGAAATGCGTGATTTATTCTCCGGAGAAAAGTTGATAGTGTAGCCCTTATCCAAGCGTCAGCGTCTCAAATACGTACCAATTATGAAACCCTGTGCTTTATTATTTCATTTATATTGTCCACATGTGATTTATAGCAAAGGAATATCCGTTTCTCTCAGGTAACTCATCAAAAATTACAAACCATACCCTCACTCAAAAGCATCTTCTTTCAAAGCCCTTTGGTTAAGATTGTGATTCATCAAGTTGTCAGCTTGTTTTCACAAACACAAGTTCTATCGAGTCAACATTGAACATCAAACACTGTACCTATTGAGCAGATTTGTGACTTTAGAGATTAGGTTTTTCTTCATTTTCCAGTTTCTGAACATGATTTAATAGAAGTTTTCTACTTGGCCTCTGAAAGCACAAGCATAGGCCACATTAAGCGATTCGTATCTCTCATGACTATCAATCTTATTCTACCTAATAAGCGTTTTAGAGCTCACTGAGTGTATGTTGAGACAAAAGTCTAGTATTTTCTTGTCACTGCTCACCAATGGTGCTGTCTGAAAGCATGTATCAACCTGTTATATTGCTGCTGACTTGGAGCTGATCAGATAATGACATTCGTCTCAACATGCGATGAGCAAGCTCTAACAGCGATGCGCAACTGATTGCCTAATCTAGAGGACTTTGCTATCATGATGCTTTTCTTTGGGTTGGTATGTCAAGTGCTCATAATTCTTTGAAATTAAAATGTGTACGGTCTCCTGGCCCTCAGGTATTTACCTAAGTTAATCCTGAACCAAAGGAATCTCTACTGAGTCATAATATTCACTTATCCCGACACACTGCAGCACATGGGCAGTTCGAATGCTATTCTCATCAAAGTGTCAGACTCAAGAGTTTCCAAGATGGCCATTGCCCAGCATTTAAGAGAGCAACCTACCTCATCAGTTTGTGTATCTAGTGGCTGTCTCATTCAAAGATCATGGTTCTCCGCTGATTTGATATTCAACAATTTGCGGAGACCATGGATTGATTGTCCGCAGCTGTCAATTTCATCGCAACTCATCAGCCTCTGAATTCACTCATCCACGTACCCTCTCATCCTTCAAATCTTCTACCATATAGTGCAGAGAGTTTGATTTTCTGTGAGTATTCATGACATCATGTTCTATAACTTCCATTCATTCAGCACATAGTATTTTTCTTTTAGGTTCGGCTATTAACTTTGACCTGAAATGCCCATTTTGTTTTGACTACATGCTCAGCTAAAACTACTTCGTCACCAAGTGTCCACATTTGTAGTGAAGTGGTGAAGCTGCTCATAAATTAACTGATTTGATTCTCTCTTCTCAGAAACATTGGAATTCTTCACTCAAATATTGCTTCATTTTTGTTGATGGGACAAACTTGATCTTTTCTCAGCGATTCATTTCTCCTCTAGTTCTTATGATGATTTTTTGGGGGGAAGGAGGGAGAGGCCAAGGTGCAAAAAGTTAGAGTGAGCATGTTCATGTGTTTTCTCATGTCCTTTTGTATGTTTTTAATTATGCTCTCACTATTTTTGCAATACCTGGCACCCATGGCGTCACTAGAAATCGCCCTGACAAATTCTATTTTTTAAGGAATTCATTGCTCGGGAAGCCTAACCAGTGGAAATTGTTTGTATGTTTCTCTGAGACTCGGCGCTCAGTTGTTAGAAATCTGAGGCCCCAAAATCATTATTCTGCCTCACTTTACTGTAGAAGTAAATGAGGCCATTTTTAATCCAATCTGTCAATTTTTATGTTGATTTTCTAGGGAGTTACCTACAGGAGTGTTAGCAAAGAATGAGGGAATAATGAGTTGCTCGAACATTTTTCTCCCTGAAAAACTGAAAATTCAGTGTCAGGTTCTTCAGGGTTTTTTTGGAGGAGTAGGATGGAGGGCGGGGGACGAAGATGAATTGGATTTCATTTTGCAATAAGGAACCACTATCTCTAGCTCTTCCATAAAAGCACGTATCTGCATAGGGAAATCAATGGCATATATGTTGTTTCTAAAATGAGCCAGAAATAGTGGTTCCTTATTGCAAAATGTAATCCAATTCAGGATGAAAGCTATTTCTTTATTTCGTGGAAAACCCATGTTTAAATTAAAGTAAATTAGGTTAAAAACCAAGATAGACTTTTGCAAGTTATTATTTTTGATTAAAAACAATACCTCAGGGAACCAAATGTTTTTTCACCGAAACAAACGATGTAATTTCTTAGATGACAAAAAACGGGAATAACTTTTAAAACTATCATAAAAATATTTTATTGAACATCAATTACATCAACTCCACGTCAAGTGAAACCCATTAATGCCCTTGGAATTGCATTAGGATCACTATTTGATGAGGACTTTGAATTTGAAAGTAGCTTCGTAAAGTGCATGACCAAAATCCCAAGTGCACAGATTGCCATAAGTAGCAATTACATTGTAACAATATTGCAATTCCACTGAGTGTTGTGTATGTTGCCTAGCTCCTATTTGAAGGGGTCCCGTTTATTGAAACTTGATGCAATTTTTCAATGCATTGCATATTGCCTATCTTTCTGACACATGGAACTCATTTTGTTGATTGTTTAAAATCAGCATAAATCGACTAAATGATGTAAAAATGTTGCAATTTAATGGTAAAAAAATTACAATTGTATTGAAATCAAACTGCAATTTAATTTCAATATTTTCGTTGCACTGTGCTACTTGGGATGCGTAGTACCCGTGGCGCTGTACTCTTCAGTAGCTCTTTCTGAGGTTCACTTTCTTTGATGAAGCTTTGAGGGAAAGGAGGGGATGCTCTTCGCACGGGGGTGGATTTAAGGATTTTTTTACTCTGAAAAATTAACCCTCTATGACTATATAAAATGTTGAAATTCAATGTCCGTGACCCCCAAAAATCGCCCTTCAACTACCGTTTCAAAACACCGAAGTTGTAAGGTAGTTGCAACTGAGAAGGAGAATTTCTAGAGGAAAAACAGTATACTTTTTTCTTTGAAGGGAAAAATAGCATACATATCTAAAGTAAACAAGGGAAAGTGGGTAAAATGAAATTTTAGCAATAAAATTCATAAAAAAATTCACTTCATTCAAATTCACTTTCATAACAAAACAAATCACTTTCAACCAAGTTTCCTCAGAACTCCCTTGAGGGACCTCAGTACCTCACTCACGAAAATCTCGAGATTGACTCAACGAAATTCACTTGAGGAAATTTGGAGGTGACTCGAAGCGCGTTTCGAGTCGAGGAAATTTCGAGTCGCGTCTTAAAATACCGTCAATTCTCGAGGACACTCGAAAAGCGTACTCAAGGAAATCTCGAGTCGAGGAAGTTTCGAGTAACGTCTTAAAATTCCGGCCTTATCCTTGCTCGTGGTTTGTATTTACTTTAATTGTTCTTTCTACTTTTGTGTTTGCAGTTGAAACAAGAAGAAACAGTTTGCTGTAATTTTCAAATTATTTTTGGCCTTCCCGGTTTGAATCATTGTGAAAATCGACACCTCTAGAACAGACCTTTGCATGAATACCTTGGTGCGTACTGGAGCTGTGTTGCCTTAAAGAGGTGAACCTTATTTTTTGAGCCCCTCGAGCTCACTCAATTAAAACATTGTCGTAGTTTCAATGCCAGTGGCAACTCTCTGCAAAGAATATTTCTTAGCTCCTGATTCACAATTATCACCCGATGCCCCCTTTCTATGAATCCTCTCATATGTGAGTCACTATTTTTGATCATTTTAACTTGTCAACCGATCCAGTTTTGTAAATATTAGTCTAGGATTTTGTTGTAGTTTTTCTCTTCTTTTTTTTCTACTGTTTTTTCTTTACTGTTGAATTGTGTTAGTCATTTTGTATCACTATGAAATATTGTAAATTATTTCGAGAAAAAAAAAAAAAAAAAAAATTGTAAACATCGAACCTTGTGATTTTCTCTTGTCTGCACTATTCTCAAGTTTGGGAAATATCCCTGACACAGAAATATCACTGTGTTTTCCCCATATTTTTCTATCAGTGCCTCTGGAGCTTGTCCTTTCTGACATTTTCACAAGCATGGATATCGAATTTAAAAAGGAAATCATGAAATAAAAAGCTTGTTCAAACTTAGACATTTTTTTACTTTTGTAACTTCATCATGAAAAGTTGAAGGAGAAAAGTTTTCTAAAAAATCAGAATTTTGGAAGTATTATCTTAAAATTGTTTAAAATTTAATTGGAATTTTAAAAGTGTTTTTTAAGAACTTATTTTTCTTTTGGTGTCAAAGATCGAGCATTGCATTAAATTTATCAGGATTGCAAGGTCCAGGGAAGAAACAACAAGGAAAGCCAGGTATCAAGAGAGAAGGAATCGGCCGTCAGGCCATTACTATCTGTTCAATGATTTCACTTAGGATAGGTTAGTAGGACTAACCTTAAGAATATTTATGCCAAAGTTTAAAATTTATGAAAGATCAAACTCGCACTTGGGAGAGATGAGGGTTCGTATGATAGTAGTTACATGCATGACTGAAGATCCAGTACCTGACGTCTTGCAAGACAGTAAGTGCAACTTGAGTTGTAGAGAAGATTAACTGCAAGATGATTTGGGTGAAAGTTCAGGTTGTCAAGATATTTTCCGTGCATAATTTTGAAGTTCAGAGTGAAAGGGTTGCAGAGCAACAGCTAAAACCTCCATTGCGCGCCAGCACAGCAAGTCAGCGTTTACAAGTTTTCGGTCATTTTATGCCGCAAAGTGAGTGCCGTCACTGTGAGTATCTACTGAACCTGCGATTTGTGTGGTAGTTCATTCCACTCACAGGTTCAAGCTGCAAGTTAAGCAACTTAAGAAAATTAATAGCTTAACAAGTAATGAATCGGGTTGGGCCGAATTCTATTGGTCCTTCCACCGGGTACATGAGAATTCTTAAAACGAATCTCGACTGCACTTAATAGTCCGGCTTCGGCCTGAGTGGCTGGTGGTGCTATTTGGACTCATTGATGGGTGTTGCACCTCACGCGGTCAGACTTGCTCACATCTCAGGGCGAATACCCTTAGCCAGCTAAAGGGGCCTAAAGTGACATTTTGCCGCCCCNGGGGGGGGGGGGGTGGAGGGTTGGGAATCACCAAGGCAAATCAGCACAATGGACCACTAGACAAGGTACGAATTTAGGCATTCTGATATATGTATCTTACAGTGGCGTGCGGTCCGGATAAGCAAGGCAAGCACTGCTTGCCCAAAGATTTCAAACGAAAGAAGAAAATTACACCTATTTCATGTTGAACATTTTAGCAAATATAATTTATAAAAGGTGTTCAGTAACTAAATTGCATTAAAAACAGAAAAAGAGAGAGACAGAAATACGTGTAGAGCCACAGCAGTGGGAAAGCGGCAGGGCGGATGGAGGTGGCGCAGCGCGCTGCGCCACTGGTATCTTAACCAGAATTTCACGTAGAACACGATTCGCGCAACGAAAATTACTTAAATCAACTCCTAACGAAGATATTAACGTTTTTATTTCACATTGGTTACAAGGAATTTGAACTGCCCGCTCACAAGAAACTCAAACCTCTACGTGTGTCACATCGCGCACTTAACGGTTTCAGCAAGCTTCTTAGTCGAGCAATGTTCATGCCCCACCACGTGGTGTTCAAACTATAAGCAATTTGCCGTAGCTGAGCCAAAGCGTCAAGATTGAGGTTGCCAGATTTGTATATCGTAGAGACTGTCATGATAACGTTTAGCGCGCGATGTGAATCACGTAGAGCATTGAGTTTTCATGAGCGGGTGGTTTGAATTCACGCATCAAGAATTATTAAATATCTCTGTAAGGAGTTAATTTCGGTAATTTTGGTTGTGTGCACCGTGTTTTACGTAAAAATATGGTTAAGAAACATATATCAGAATGCTGAAATTCGTACCTTGTCCAGTGGTCCAATTTTACGCTATTTTCATGTTCGAAGTTTAGTGATTGCACAGAGCATTAATTGCCAAATTGAACACTCCTAAGTAACCGGGAGACCCAAGAAATGAAAAAAAGAATATAAAATCAAAGCTAGGTACCAGACGCATGCATGCATCAATATTTCCACAAGAATCGAGCCAGAGCTTGCGACCTGTAATACTGCTTTTAAAAACTAAAAGTCGTAAAATGATGCTTCATTTTCGGGTTCATGGACCCAGGCCCGCCACAGGGGGGGGGGGGGGNGGGGGGGGGGGGATACTGGGTCCCTGGAACCGGGGCCCGGGCCCTGGAGGGGGCCCGTATTACCCGTGAAAAACCACTACGAATTCACATGCAACCCTTGTTTCGTAAGAAAAAGTGAAAAATTTACCCTAAAAATTCCGCAAAAGGTGAATAGATTTTCAGAAACACGCTGGGACACTGTAGAATTCTTCTTAAATTTTCAAGATTTTCAGTACAGAGGGATATTTTTAGTAACTGCGTTTCATTTTCTTCCGTCGTCAGATGCTAAAGGGTCTCCAGTCTGGGACTTCAATGGCTCATGGCTCAACTCCCTTGCCATAGACAAACGAAGGGGGAGTCCAGAGGGGTGCCACACACGGGAGGGATGAGGCGCCCAAAAGTGAGGCTCTGCTGCGCGCGCACGTCGCATGTTTGGATTGTAATTTCGCGGCAGATTCGAACCTAAGGGGCGAGTTCCATAATACATTCTTCTCAAATGCACAGTATTAAAGTAAAAAAAGTCCAGAGTTTTAATCACGATTACTTTAATTAAATTTAACCTCTCGTAAATCCATACGTTAAAAGGGTTTCCTTCTCCGTAAATTTTAACAGTTTTATAGTGAGTT